GTGGCCGGGGCAGCTGGTAAATCGCGCAGAGCCATCTGGCGTGCAGCACAGTCCCCGTAGGGGAGGAGGGTGCCCTGCATGGTAACGGGGATTTGCTGACCGGTAGCGATTTTGGGGGTAGATCGAGCAAATCGGAGGTCGCCACTGCATCCCTGTGTCGGGAGCCAGGACGGACCTGCTAATGACTGGTATATAGGAAGCAGGAGAAGGGTAAACAGGCCTCTTGCAATTGTAATAAGGTTACTCTGTGGATTATATTTGCAGCTGCTGGGTGGATGTTAATTGGAGTGATAATTGTATCATTTAAATGCCCGGGATTTTTATGTTAAAGGTCTTCATCTTTGTGTGAGTGTGTATAATGTTCAAATAGTTTGTGAATGTCTCTACATGTCAATGAAGGAGCAGGGAAAAGGGAGTCACTCCTTCGGTGGTTTGGGCTCGAACCATGGGAATATTTAAATGAAGGAGGAAATTGGATAAGAAGGAGAAATGAACAATTCTATTTAAAAGGGGCATATTTAACTCCAGCAGGGTGGAGAGTAGCCTTAGACTGGCAACAACCTCCAGACATCTCCCTAAATCCCAGTCTTGGCGGACAAATAGGAGTAACTCCCTGCTATATATGCGGGCTTGTTGCTAGACTATATAACAATTTGCACCAGGCTTGTGTTTTGTTGAAGTGTAAATCTTGTGAAAGGAGGTGGTATTGTACATCTAGCAGATGGAAAGCAGAGTGCCCTAAGTGCTCTCCCCAAATTCCACACCTTTACGATTGGGAAAGAGCCCGTCAAGAATCCAAAATAGTGAAGTTGGTGTGTGGGAAGAAAAATTTAATCCCAGAAATTTGGGACGTGTGGGAGGAGGACTGGGAGAAAACCATAAGGATTTGTAAGAAATGATTTGCGTGGAAACTTAACAAAAGCGTAGCAAAAGCCAAAATAAGAGGTCCATAGAAGTTACAAAAATGAGAATCACTTCAGGAGGTATTTTGAAGAAAAGTCCCTTAGGCTGTGTGCTTGCTCATTGGAAAGACATTGTTGGGACTGGAGGGACAGAAAGCAAAAAGACCCTTATCAAATATTATCATCAATGGTGGCCGCTGTATAAGCTAGAAGGCGAAGCTAAGTGGCCACTTAATGGATCTATAGATTATAAAACTCTCTTACAATTAACGTTGTTTTTAAGGAGAGAAGGAAAGTGAGATGAAGTTTCATATGCAGACATGTTTTTCACCCTCCGAAACCATCCGGAGTGGCAAAGGGACTGTGGAATGGCACCACCACAGGGCCCCATGGTACTCACATTCAAGCGAGAAAATAACAAAGAACTTAGAGGTAAACTGAGGCGGTGTTGATCAGCATGTAGTATTGGATAAAGGTGTACTAAAGTAAATAAAATTCACCAGGCACCAGAACAAGATCTAACTGATTTGTTTAAGCCTTCCCCTCGACCACAGGAACAGGATGCGGACTCGGATGGAACCTCCACGCCTCCAGACAGTCCTGTACCTTCCCGTACTAGGAAGAAATCTGCCCCAACAGCCTTACAAGCACCTCTCCGAGAGGCGGTAGGGCCGCATGGCAGGACGATGCTAATCAAGGTACCTTTTTCCACCACTGATTTAGGGGAATGGAAAAGGGTTGCGAAGGATTACAGGAGTGATCCGATAACTGTAACCAAACATTGTCAGTTTATTGTAAAACAGCATAACCCTGATTGGAAGGACATACAGTTATTATTAGAGTTTATGACTGAGATAGAGAAGCAACTGATTTTAAAAACAGCAGGGAATTTGGCTGAAGACCATTATAGGACTACAGGAGGGGACGTCAAGGAATATTTCCCTCTCCAGGATCCAAAGTGGGATGTTAATAGATCTGCGTATATGGAGAAATTGCAGGGGTATCAGGAGTGGATTTTGAAGGGAATGGAAAGGGCTGTCCCCAAAACTAAAAATTGGTCAGCTTTATATGCAATTAAACAAGGTCCTTCCGAGTCCCCATCCGAATTCCTGGATCGACTGAGGGATGTAATGCGCTGTAGTACACCGCTGGATCCTGGTTCAGAGGTAGGAATACAACAACTAGTCTCCCTGTTCTTGGGTCAGTCCACAGGGGAGATTAGGCGCAAACTCCAGAAGTTGCATCCTACAGAACGTAGAAATTTTGAAGTGTTGATGGATGAAGCATGGAGAGTATTTAGTAACAGACAGAAAGGATATAGACAAGGGCAAAGGAAAATGGTGGTGGTTGTCAGGGAAGAGGAGGAAAGGAGGCCTAGACGAGAACCGTCCCGATTAGGTAAGGATCAATGTACGCTGTGTAAGAAATTTGGTCACTGGAAAAAAAGAATGTCCAAGAAACAAGGAAAAGGGACGAAGCCACCAAACAGGAAGAATAGTAGCCCATGTAAAGTAAGGTTGACAGGGACCTGGGGAATCTACCTTAGTAGATCCACTGGTTATAATGAGGCTAGGGAAGAAACAACAAGAAGTAGAATTTTTGGTTGACACAGGGGCAACATACTCAGTTTTCAATCAAGCCTTGATGCCCCTGGGAAACGACTACATCATGGTAAAAGGGGCGACTGGCCAAAGGAAAAAGGCATATTTTTGTAAGCCTCTGAAGTATAAATTAGGAAAACAATGGGGCATCCACAAATTCCTGTATATGCCCAACTCCCCAAAGGCACTATTGGGAAGGGATTTGTTGGAACAATTGGATGCAAAAATTACATTTGAAAAAAGAGAAATTACTCTGGAGGTAAAAGATCAGCAATATATCCAGATACCGAGTCTATTCTTAACCAGTCTCCCCGCAGAAGGAAAAATTAGTGAGGAGGTTTTAAACCAGGTATATCCTGGGGTATCGGCCACCGATGTACCTGGAAGAGCGAAAGATGCTTCACCTGTTGAAGTCAGACTCAAAGAAGGCCAGCAACCGGTAAGAGTTAAACAATATCCCCTAAGGAAGGAAGATAGGGAAGGAATCTAGACAATAATAAAAAAATTTTTACAATTAGGATTATTGAAAGAGGGTGAGTCTGATTTTAACACCTCTATATTACCTGTTCGTAAACCTGACGTGTCGTACCGGGTGGTCCAGGATCTGCGGGCTGTAAATAAGATAACTGAAGACCTTTACCCAGTAGTAGCGAATCCATATACCCTGCTGACTGTATTAACACCTGACCTAACTTGGTTCACTGTTCTAGATCTGAAGGATGTCTTCTTTTGCCTCCCTCTCCATGAAGCCAGCCAAAATTTATTTGCATTCGAATGGGAAAACCCCAAAAGTGGTCGCAAGACTCAGCTCACTTGGACGGTGTTGCCACAAGGATTTAAGAACAGTCCCACCATCTTTGGCAATCAGCTCGCAAAAGACTTGAAATTTTGGGAAATCCCGTCTGAGGAAGGGCAACTGTTACAATATGTGGATGATATCCTGACCGCCACCAAAACAGAGGACGATTGTATGACCTAGACGGTAAGTCTATTAAATTTCTTGGGGCTCCAAGGGTACCGAGTCTCTAAGAAGAAGGCCCAAGTAATGCAGCGCAAAGTGATTTATTTGGGCTATGAAATTAGTGCTGGACAAAGGACTTTGGGGCAGGCCCGCAAAAAGGCAGTATGTCAAACTCAGAGACCTCAGACAGTGGAAGAGTTGCAGACTTTCTTGGGAATGACCAAGTGGTGTTGACTGTGGATCTATAACTATGGACTGCTTGTTAAACCACTATATGCACTAACAGCCACTGAACAGAAATACCTTAAATGGAACAAGGAGACCACGCAAGCCTTTAAGCTACTAAGAAGGGCTTTGATGTCGGCCCTGGCCTTAGGGATCCCAGACATGAGTAAGCCATTTTTCCTTTTCTCTCACGAGAAGCAGGGAGTTGCCCTGGGAATATTAGCACAAGATCTGGGTCCATATCGACGAGCAGTTGCCTACTTCTCCAAACAATTGGATGCAACTGCAAAGGGTCGGCCTCGATGCCTGCGAGTGGTTGCAGCTGTAATATTAAACATACAAGAAGCCCGAAAATTTACCCTGGGCCAGAGAATGACTGTCTTGGTGTCCCATACAGTATCCGCAGTACTGGAAGCGAAGGGTGGACACTGACTTTCTCCACAAAGATTCTTGAGATATCAGGCTATACTGGTAGAACAGGATGATGTGGAGATCGTAGTCACTAACATGGTCAACCCAGCTTCTTTCCTCAGTGGAAACACAGGAGAACCAGTACATCATGAGTGCTTAGAGACCATTGAAACAACATATGCAGGCCGCCTGGACCTGAGAGACAGTCCTATGGAAAATGGGGAAAACTGGTTCACAGACAGAAGCAGCTACCATCTAAGTGGTGAAAGATATGCAGGATATGCTATTGCCACCAATCAAGAAGTAATAGAGTCAGGGCCTTTACCCATGAATACCTCTGCACAGAAAGCACAAATCATTGCTCTGACCCGTGCCTTGGAATTGGCCCAAGGCAAAGTTGTGAATATTTATACAGACTCGAAATACGCCTTTGGGGTTGTACATGCGCATGGAGCAATCTGGAAAGGAAGAGGATTATTGAACTCTCAAGGAGAAAACATCAAGCATGCAGAAGAGATTTTGAAACTGTTGGAGGCAATCCAACTCCCTGAGAAAGTGACGATCATGCACATCAAGACACACCAGAAAGTGAGCTCAGAATTGGAAAGAGGAAATGAGCTGGCGGACAGAGAGGCAAAACAGGTAGCCAAAACAAAGGTAAAAACAGAAGGGGCTTTGGTCCCTGACAGGCAAATCTCCCTAGAAGGTAAACCAGAGTATACCAAGGAAGATCGGAAGCTTATCACAGATCTAGAAGGGTCATATAATAAAGAGAGGTGGGCTCTCACCCCACAAGGGAAAATAATCATTCCCTCTTATTTAACATGATCCTTGGTAAGGGAGGAACATAGGAAAAGGCATTGGGGGGCAGAGGCCCTATATAAACACCTAATTAGAGAGATCGTAGCTAGAAGTTTATACACCATTGTGAGACAAGTGACTCAGCAATGCGACCTTTGCCTCTAGACTAATCCCAAGAATACCCCCAAACCAGAAATGGGCCAAACTGGGAAAGGCAGTAGGCCCGGGCAACAATGGCAGATTGATTTTTCAGAACTTCCAAGAAAAGGGGGGTATCGATATTTATTGGTATTAACTGATACCTTTTCAGGTTGGCCAGAGGCATTCCCCACCAGGACAGCCAAGGCTTGGGAAGTAACCAGAATATTAATACAAGAAATAATACCACATTTTGGGGTTCCAGCAACCATGTCCTCTGACAGAGGTCCACATTTCATCTCCAAAGTACTACAACAAATTACCCGCTATTTGGATATAGACTGGCAACTTCATACTCCATATCGCCCTCAATCGAGTGGCCAAGTAAAAAAAATGAACCATTTAATCAAGCATCAAATTGTAAAATTAGGACAGGAAAATAACTTGGCCTGGCCTCAGTCTCTTCCTTCGGCTCTTTTGCACATACAAACTAGACCAAGGGTGAGGGAAGGACTGGAGCCCCTTTGAAATCTTATATGGACGACCCTATGGAATACAGAAAGGGATGTCCACACAAGCTGGGGATGAAATCACGACTTCCTACATGGTGGCATTGGGTAAGCAGCTTAATAAAATCGGAAAGCATGTGGTTGGAACTCGAAGTAGGGATTTAGATGGACCTGTGCACAATATACAACCTGGAGATTACGTGTATATAAAGTCTCTTGCAGAAAAAACTTTGGAGCCACAGTGGGAAGGGCCATTCCAGGTACTCCTCACCTCCTTCACAGCAATCAGAATCACGGAACAGAGCGCTTGGATTCATCACACCAGAGTTAAAAGGGCACCTAAACCTCCATGGAAGGTTACTCAGGTGCAACCAAGAAAGTTGCATTTTTCACGGTTTTGATAACATCATTGATGAGAGAAACTGAACGGTGGGAGCACAATACTTATGTGAAACTTACTCAGGCAATGAGCAATAGCTTTAACCTTTCTGATTGTTAGGTGTGCCTGTTGTTGCCTAAAGGCCACCGGGAGGTTCCAGTATGGGGTATACCTAGCAAGAATTGGACATATACTTTTAAGCACCCAAGGAATGGAACATGTCCATTTGGGAGCGATAGCTCTAACCAGCTCGGAGAAAGGTTTGAACTGCTTCCATGCGGGAATGTTAGTATCTACACCAGATGCTTAAATGACACCTCACCATGTATGGGTACAGGCCCACTTTCGCATATAGCCCAGGAGCCTGACAACTGCAGTATGGCAGAATCTGTAGGTACCTTTAACCTTACTAAAATCAAAAGTTATAGTGTAAATGTCACGATAGGTGCCAATAAAAAAGATTCATCGCTGGGAGGAAATTTTGGCTTCAACCCTGTCGCACAAGCCTGCCAGTTACAAGCAGGGTTCTATTGGCTATGTGGGGATGGACATGCTAGAAAAAGCTTACCCTCGAATTGGAAGGGCCATTGTATAGGGGGCTACCTTAATCCTCAAGGTGGTATATTCATTGGACCACCCCCAGGAATAGTTCGAACCTTGTGGAGATGAACACGTGCTGTTCCGGATAATCCTCTCAAGAAAAGGCCCACAGAATTTCATAGCTTTGTAAGGTGGTCGATTCCATCCCTGGGGATAAGTGAATTAAAAAAGGCCATCGTAAGTGTCTCGGCCACATTAGAAATTATTAACAATGCCACAGCCGATGCTCTTTCGGCATTGCAAGAAGAAATCTCTTCCTTACACAAAGTAGTGCTTCAAAATAGGATGGGATTGGATATGCTTTTGGCTAAACAGGGAGGATTGTGTACAGTAATAAACCAAACCTGCTGCACATACATTAACAAGCAAAAGCAGGTTGAGACCGATCTGGAGAAGATTTGGAAAAAGAATACAGTGTTGCACGAGGTCACTCAGGATAAAACATCTTGGGGATTTACAGACTTAGTAGAAAAATTGACCTCCTGGTTGTCAAACCTACATGGCTGAAGCAATTGTTTGTCACAGTAATCATAATCATACTTCTGTCTGTAGTCCTTTGCATGACAGTTTGATGTGCCTTGTGGTGTTTTCAGAACACAGGAGACTCCTACAGCGAATGGAAAAAGAATCAACTATGACGGAAGCTTGAGTCTAACAATTATTTTGAGAGAATACTAGATAGGGAAACACTGTACTAGAGTTAGATGTAGTAAAAGAATTTACTAATCTTCTAGAAAAGGGGGGACTGAGAGAAGGAGTTAAGGGAATCTCAGTAGATAAGGTGTTGCTAATGATTATCTAAATTGGTATATAGCCCAAGGAATTGAATTAGTAGACATTGCTTGATGTTTCTGTTAACTATTGTGCAAATTAACTGAAGCAAGAAGTCTTGTAGCTCCTTACAACAGACAGTTCCTATAAGAGCCAGGGACCTGTCTTAAGAACTGGCTGAAACCGACCCTGTGGTTTGGCAAGAGCCAAGGAGCCGATGGAGGGAACTAACACTTAAGGGTTAATAGCAGAGTTTACCTTAAGTCATATATCTATAGCTTAAGCCATATATCTATAGCATAGCCGCCACTGTGTAGGATGTCTAAACAGGAACTAGCAGAAGGACATTGCATAGCAGAGAGCCATATATCTATAGCATAACCATTGTGTAAAATGTCTGAACAGGAATTAGCAGAAGGACATTGCTGAGGAAGCAGAACAGTCATGATGACCTTGTTAAAGAAACCGCATTGAACAAGTTTTGAGGAAAAGGTGAAAAGTACATAATGAGGAAGACATACAGCCTTCATCCCCGAGACCCCGGCCCACGACCACCAAGAGGCACTGCGTGTGTGCAGTTGGGAGGAGTTAGAGGCGGAGAATCATTGTAATAAAGACTGCCTTTTCGGAAAAAATTATGAATATGTATAGGCGTTTCCTGAATTATAATGAGTATGTAACACTTTGCTGCAGAAATGCAAGATAACTGCCGCGGAAGGTGCGCACGATTGTGGGGGGGCGACCCCCGCTGCTGCCCAGCGCTGAATAAACACACCTACTTTACAGCCTTGCAAGTTGTACAGTTTGTTTTCCGCACGCCAGAGCAACTGAGTCTGCGCAAGGACAAGGGGT